GCGATCTCAGTGGCCACAAGTTAATTGCCTTGACATGTTTAACCTTCGGGAGGTGTTCACAAGGCTCCTAACCTCTTGGAGGTCTTGGTTCCCGGTTTTGTGGTCAACAGAACGTGTCTCTCGGTGCATTAGGGGTCGGCAAATCGAGGTCACAAAGCTGCAAAATAGTTCCGGTGTTTACAGTGGTTAGCTTCATATTGGGGTCCAACAATATGTCATACAGTCAACGCAGGTACTAGGTAATGCCTTTGCTTCCAGTGTGGCGTATCGCACAAGTCAATGATATGCTACTAGCTACCTGCTGATAGTTAAATGCTTATGGGTGAATTGGCGCTCACTGCTCGTTTACGGGACTTACTCGTCCCATTCTGCCTTGAAGTTCACTCTCGAGCCCCGCTAGCAGCCCCACAGCGTCGAGTATTATAGGCGGAAGAGCATTTCCGACACTCTGTGGTTAGTTTTGGACTTCTAATCGATAGGTAGCGGGTCCGAGCCTCGGGTGGTACAACACTGGGTTGCTTATGGCTGGCTGATGATGGCTAATGAGCCAGAAATGTTCATATCAGTCTGTCCTATCTTTATCGGTAATGCCCTTCTGTAGTTTAAGGGGCATAGCACTTTTATCTCGCTGTTGCTGATGTACTTCGGCCCAAATATTCATATCAACTTTTGGTTTGCGCCTATAGGATATGCTAATTTATTTCAGTTTAAAGATTAATTTCTGAGGAAATTAAGATGCACCTTTTACATTCGTGCTCGTTCTCTACCTTGCGCTCGTGCTTTTACTGTGCAACAGCAGCAGAGAACCACCAGCATTCTACACAATACTTTTTTAGTATGACAGCCCTGTTATAGGTCTCTGGTCGAGCGATTATGAATTTGGCCTAAGAGATTTGAACATTGGGTTGAAGGAGGGCGTTTTGTAGCCTATTGTGAAGACTATCAATTCGCGGGGTTGTCTTTCTGCAGTAGGGTTTGCTCCTTAGACCGGCGAAATCCGCCCTCACTCTACAACCATTTAAAGCTCTTCCTAATGGTTGTCCATGACCGACTGCTGAGGATCGTGGTGGGGCCTCGTGTTTCGTCACCTGGCAGACCCGGTAACCAGCGAGGGCGTATGATGGGCGCATCTTCGACACTCGGTGATGTTCTCCTGACCTCGTCGTGCGACCCTTAGGATATTGATAAAAACCGCGATGGACTCCTCCTTGCACGCTTCAAACACTTTCAGGAGCAGACCATCCGATTTGCATATACTCTACCCCCCTCCCCACGAGCGACAGTTTTTTTCCTTAAAACCCCTCAGATGGCATTCAAACCCCCTAGAATTCTGAACAATACCTAAGGAGTTTTTTACTGTCTGCTCTTTTTACGCAGTTCCATTACTGGCAACGCCACATGTTCTGCATTTCATAGCTGTTCTATACCAAGGGGGATTTCAAAGGTATTTACCTATATTTCCCTTAATAAACCTGACCTGACCTACATGGCATGTCCCCAACCTGGTGTGAGTCCAATACCCGAAGTGTTAATAGCGTTTGATTTGACTGCTCAGTGACCCAGGATGTGCCAACATCCGGGTTTGGAGTATAACTGGCGGCTGACGGAACAGAAACCGGCAATGTTGGGGGTGTGAATCTTGGCCCACGTGTGACCATAAGGTCTTGTAAAGAGGTCAGATGCACGCAACTGTTTCAAAGCTGCTACTCGATGCTGTTAGACTTCGTCTAATACGAGGATTTTAGGGTTCACATCATAGTTGAAAAATATGCTAGTCTCGGGCCTGAAATGACGCGAATGCAACTGCAGACTGTAATAAGTAGTAAATCTTAAATTACTTAAGATTGTGTAGGCTGTGAAGTAGGCACTTCGGCGAATGGGAATGACATCGTCGCTCATCCATCAAA